ATCAAACGTTAAAAATTCTACCATAATGCTTAACACGGTTGGGGAGGAATTAGAATTTAGAACTCGGTGATTGAAAACTGAGAGTTATATAAATTAAACTTCACTAATCTCTATGGCGCAAACAGATAACATGAAAATCAGTAGCAGCACCTAAATAGGTATGCACGAACTTTGGAATTTTGCAGTAAATTTAAAAGGTTAATAACCATTCAATAGAAAAAGATCAATTTTAATTAAGAACATAAAATATCTCATTCAGCAACAAAGTATTTAGATCATCAAAGAAAAAAATATACAATAATGTACATTTCATAATCATAAAACATTATTGGATCTATCGGGGTTTTTTATGCAAGTGACTTTCGATTTGTAAGTTGTGAGTTCTAATTCCATTCTAACTAACTAGGTCTAAACTTGTTTTACTATTATTAGCCATTATATCATAAAGTATGCCTTAAAATATAATGGACTAGTATAGTACAAATTAATAGATCACTTAGGAATATACGGAAGAAACGCTAACAAAAGACATGTCGTTAGCTTTAAAACAGAGTGAAATAAACTGAGCACACACAATTTTAAATGATTTAACTAACACGAATCTCTAATTAGTTTCTATTAGCCATAGGTTGATATCGTTTTGCATGTTACAATGGAATTTACAGGTGATTTTGGGCTGACGACTATCATTTTCAATGCTCATTTAACAATATTACAAGTTTGACTTAATGACAGTATCGAGGCAATTAGCTCAGACTGAGCATATATCAAAAGAAATCGACGAACTACCGTTCACCATATCAACAAATGAAGGATTCAAACAGTCCTTATATATGAGAGTAAGACGTGTCTGTATCGAAGATATAATCGACATCGAACTTGATAAAGTACGGAAGATAGTGATCAACAATGGATATCCATTTAGATTCATTGAGAAAAATCAAAAGCCAAAAGAACAGTGTCCCAAAAACACCACAGAAGACCCTCTTCATGGACAATCACTTTAAAGGAGATACTGCAGCAGAAATTCTGAATAAAACAGACTTTCAAGATCTCTAAGAAATAATGTTCTATTCGGTTGAACTTCGCACTATCTTTTCTAGTCGGCATATGATTCATAGCTGCGTCAATAAGCTCTCGCTTTTGGCCGACTCTATCAGTTTACTTGCTCATCCAGAGCGGGTTATATTGGCCGCAGAAAGCGAACTGTTTTGATACACATCTCCAAACATTACCCTTCTTGGCTTTCCAAAGGATTAAAGAAGTCAGTCAAAAACTCAATCTTGGATCATCTAGTCTATTGTGATCACTCCACTTCACCAGAAGCCCCCTTCAAAATCATTCGCACAGTAAAAAAAAGTCGGCTCCTTAAGAATGCAGATGAAAACCTATGAACAGCAGAAGTTATTGCTATCCAACGGTTCAGGCCCAGCCTTTACAGTATGTTCAGCCCCTCATTCTTCCATGGTCTCAACCCCCCTTTCTATCTTTCATAATTGATCGTTTTTCATCTTATTATTTTTACTCCTTTCCAATTGTTTTTACAGTTATTAATTAACAATTATTACAACTTCTAATTATTCTGATCTTAGTAGCTATCGAGTGAGTAAGTACATTCACCTTACCATGTTTCCCTTAGTCAATTATTACATAACTTCATCTGAATTTATGATTTTCGATTTATCACAAGATACCATTTCAAGATTTCTCAGTTATTCAACACCATTTTATCTTACAATAAACTATTTTAGAAAACAAAATTAACTATACATATGATTGTACAGCCTAAGTAAATGAAATGGTCGAAAAGAAAATATCCTTTACTGAATTACATTCTTTCTTCCTCATATAAGAATTAAAATTCACCCCCATTAAACATGTCAACGATTATGTGAACCAATTAGATAAAGCGTTGGGAGTTTGTAGAGGGTACTGGATTCGAGTCCTGATGTGAACAGCAACACTTGAGTGCAGGTATATCTGGCTGGCAATTCCCATATAGGACGAAACGAGAGCCCTGGGTCCCAATGCCCAAGAGAACAATTCGAACCATTACTTCTACCTATGTTAGTATAAGTCCCATCCACTTATCTCTACAACTTCATATATTATGAAAATAGGTGTCTTTTTGATAACGTAAAACAACACATTTAAATGTTAAAATGTTTGCTCCTGGGATTATTCAAATAATACGGAAAGAACGAGTCATTAGATTCTGAATAAGTAGTTAATGAAAACTTAGTCTATGTTCAATATTGTGGTGTCAATAATTATAATAATAATTATTATTAAAATAAAAAGATGAATGCATAATTAAGGATATGAAAAATGTCGTTGAAGGGAGTGCAAATCATAATAAAGTTGGAAGAGACAATTAGAAACGATTCAGATGTGTGCCGAGGTAAACAGAGAAACTGTATGTATCATTTTTGTAAACATAAGTTAGGATTCGTTGAATTCATACCAAGTGCTTCAAGAACATAAAGTAAGTATAATTTTGCTATGATATAGATTAATTCAAGTTTAATGTTTTGTTTATTGTAACACAAGGGTAACAAATTTGGATTTATAACTCTGGGGTTCTGATAAAGAAATTATCCATAGGGATCGTTCAGTTTAATACTCTTTGTTTTTAAATACCAGATGAAATTCCTTAAATACCATTTAACCTACCAGGTTGAAACTCTACATTCTGCTTTTACACTTGAATCAATTAAATTTCACTGAATCTAATAGAGTATTAATGGTTTAACTTCTTAATATCGACATGTGAACTTACAATAATTTTTTACTTTAAAAGCTTTCCAGTTATATCACTAATGAACTTTCAATTTCCTGTTTCATTTTTACATTATTCATGGTAGATTTTACATAACTAAATGAGTGCGAACGAAATTCATACATAGTAACTGTTCTGCAGGCTATTTTGTTCAGATTCATTAAAGACAATCAAGTATACAAAGAAAATAGATCAGTTCAAATAGATCCAACTGTTTGAACGTGTTTCAACGTGAAAAATCAATATTTGCAATTCTTTCTTTGTGCTCAGAACATACATTTAGCTTAATTTTTACAATTTATGTATAGGTTTACATAGGCAACCAGCACCAAACTCTGAGGAATCGATTTGACCGGTTGGTTTTTATTTCATAAAATAAGGATAGGAGTTCAACTGCACTTGTTAAAGTCGAATCATCTAGGCAGTGGCAGTGACTGTAGAGGAGTTGAATAATTTTCACAACTGACGGAAATGTATGATTTTGCATACACAGATACTGTGTAAAAATCCACGATAATATATATTAAATTTTCATAATCAATATATATGTGGTGTATGCTACTTATGTCGACAGACATAAGTAGTATGTAACACTAATCAGAAGTGGAAAACCTAGCAACAAAAGGCTATGAAGGTCGAGTTGAAGAAACCAGAATATGAATTTTTAAAAAAATTGTGATTCGGAAGAACTATATGGAATGTGAAGGACAAATGACGGAAATGTGCGAATGTAGTATTCGATGGATAGTTCTTAAATTTTACCAAGAGATTTTGTAATTTTGTACAAACATACACAGGTTGTCCCCATCTGTGTTCCTTCATTACATAAATATTAAACTTCCCGATCTGCTACGTCCACGTTTTTATAATATGTTGAATTAACAACGTGGAATACGAACTTAATCAATTACAAATAATCCAATATTTAAAAAAAGATGTTTGATAATTCTCCTCTGTCTCTATAACAGAAACATTTCTTCATTAAATTGTAGCACTTTGTTCAGCTCTTTTTCTGAACGTCTTCTAGATTAGTAAACTTGTGTTAACTAATTAAGCTTCATTTATATTGTTATTCTTACTTACTAATAGCATTTATTCAATACGGAAACACTCGTTTCTAGTTTTTGTTCTTTCAAATAAAATTTACAATATTTAAATTTATTTACATCCTTGGCATACTATGCTGATGTGTGAACATAGCAAATTTCAACCACACTTTTTTATGTAATTTGGACTTGTATTATAATTATTATCTTTAAATATTACAAGTTATAAGCAGCTGATAAGGACCGAAGATGTATAGTGGCTGACAAAGGAATCCTGGACGCGCGTTTCGTCCTATTTGGGACTCATCAGCTGGATGTACCTGCATCCCAGAGTTGATGTTCACTCCGGCTGTCGAGTCCAGTACCGTTCGCTTCAAACGCCATCGCGTTACCCAATTAGCTACTGAGTCCTGATAGCCACCTGCTTGTGCAATGGGGTGACGTTTAAATTCACTTGGTGTTGTTTTTTTAAAGACTGATCAATTGCAGTCCTAAATAACAATGGGAAGATACAAGATAATCTTGTATCCAAAATCCCAATTGATATATATGAGAGCTTTATCTAGAAACTTTTAATGTACTACATAATTATCAAGATCACGGCAGATGAAACAATATTAAAATTAATATTTGAGTGGACTATTATCAATCTTCATAATTCATCATTACCAGCACTGTAGTTGAGAATATTGGTTTTACGATACATTTGTAAGTAAAATAAATTATCAGAAGACTTCAAATTGTCTAGAGATTGCTACTGACTATATTCTGTCAATGAATTTCCCGATGCAGCTTCAACATTAAATAATTCAAGCATTTCTGAGGAACCCCATTGTATGACAAAATAACATTCATACACCTCACAACTTTCAGTTCTACAGCTGTTTGTGAGAACGTAGAGAGTTCCCACAAATCATTTTTCTTCATAAATACTATCCTGTTCAGTAAATTTGGATTCTGAATTTTAAGGTGGTAATGGTATTTGTTAATTAGCCTCATTTTGTGACAGATTATAGTGGATGTTAATAACTTAGTAATCAAGTGTCAACTATTTCGACCGGCGAACTACACTAAGATAAAAAACAGTATATTCACATGAGTTAAATCAATGATTCAAGTAGACTAGAAGACAGTAAACAAAGTAATGGAAAATTAAAACAACCAGAGTTACTTACGCGTATTTGCATGATATGCTTCTACAGATTTAACAAAAATCATTGCATTCATTTCGGCATAGTCAACAAATAACAGTTGGAGTTTGAGCGCGGTCTTCATAACAAGTCGAAACTGAAAACATGTTTTATTCGTAATAACCATAAAATTGTAACATTTTTTGTTGTCCCAACAATTCCATGATATTGAAATAGGTTGAAAAAAGAACAAGTAGACAAAATAATAAAAAGTTAATGACACCAGATAAGTGGTAGGCTTTTGTGTGAACTGATATATACATATATATATATATATATATATATATATATATATATATATATATAACACTAATGATTCCCATGTTGCCTTACAGACCAGGTAACACAAAAGAAGCGAACTGGTCAGTTTATGATATGAATAGCAAAACGGAAGAATAGTTGTTGTTAGTAGTAGTCTCAGTTGAAAGTGTTCACTATGAAATAGAGAAGTATATTCAACCAATGAGTTCAATAAACAAACACAACGAAACGCATATTCTGCATTTAATTGCGTTAAACTGCACAAGATATAGTAAACATTTTTTCTTGACCTTTTGATTGCCAGTTTGTACTACCGCTCATTTACTATCTATGTTTCAACTTACCTAGTTCATGTTTATGACAAAAAGTATGGCAACTTGAGTTAATCACATAATTACTTTATATTTCTTATACCTTTTTCTGTCTAACTCCATCTTTAAAAAATTATTTAGAGAATTCGCAACATGTTTAACGAAATTTTATAGATACTCATACATTTTAGAGATGTTCAGTTTCGCTGAAATTTCGTCATAAACTAACATCAACCGGAAAACCACCCTTAACTATCAAACAGTGAATAAATATGTGATGAAAGTTGGTATTTGCAACATTGTAGTTCAGATTAGAGACCTGAAGATGTCTTGTCCACCGTAAAATTCGGACGTATACATGTATTTGTGTATGACATGCATATTCTAATGTAGGGCACAAATTATCAAACTTAATTGAACGGTAAACTTTAATGCACATAACAAATTTCCCTATCGCGAGTGTTATTAACTTACCTTAGACGTTAACAGAGAATATAACCATCGTAGAATATTTGGATGTTCAATGACTCCAGCCATTCCATCAACATAGAGCATAATCTGCCCCAAAGCTTAAAACAAAGTATATATCGAAAAATTATGAGAACTGTATAAAGACACTTGGTTCAAAAATATTCATTTTGTAGTTTAAGTTACGAACTGATTTTGACTAGAACACCATTAAAAACCTGGAAATACTGGACGATCATTTCGCTTTATTAAAGGACTTCCCAGCAGTATTCATCCACAACCCCTCAACCCGGGATCGAACCAATGTCTTTCGATCTTGCGCGTGAAACCCTAAAACTCTAAACCACTGATCCAGCATCTATAGGTATCAGTGTCTAACTTGAATCATTTCATAATATTGCTCAATCAATTCGCCACTTCAAATATGAAAATTCTACAATGTCCACAATTTCCCCTACCCTAAAATATATGTGAATAAATGAAACAATAATAGAGTGATGTTAATACAGTAGTTACACTACTGTCTAAATAATTTGCGTGTACAACTCACTGTCACAGGGATTCCTTAGCTAATCAAAAACTTAAATGATTGAGCTCTCTTACTTTTTTTTTAAAATTATACAATAATTTCCCACCACACTGAGTGAGAGATGATCTTTTTCAATGAAACTGATAGTGTATAATGCCAAACCTATAAATACTTGAAACACTATTACTACAGAGTTAAGATGGATTAAAGAATAAAACCGAATGGAGGGAAAACGTTATGTATAGACAAATAAATTAGTGATCACTTTAAGCTAATTCAAATCACTTCACAAATTATCCAGTACGCAAACTTTGTAGAAAAATTCATATGATCTTGAATAAGCGTGAGGGTTAGTAAAACAACTTGGCTGTTAAATCATGGCAGAAGGTGGATGCAGTTCGGATGTACAATCTATCATTTGTAAACAGAACATTTTGAGTGCCGAATCACTGTTCACTTCAAAAGAAAAGCATATAACAGATAAAGATGATTCACAATTACAAATTGCATTTGCTTCGTCACATTAAATCAACCATTCACATATAACTTTTTCAGTAGATAAGTACTTTTCTTGTACTGATTAAAACTCCACAGAATAATTTTCATTGTATTCTTTGAATCGGGCAGTAGCAAGAAGACAGGCGATTATTCGTCTTCTGGGAATATATTCTGATAGATTCACTTTTCAGATGACGAAATAGAAATAAACACGTGATCTCTTATTCCTTGACTGAAATAAATTATGACTGGAGGCATATAAAAAGAAAGCATTACCTATTTATCAGAAGACATGATCTCAATGTTGCTTCGATACGCTAAATAATCCGAAGTAAAACATAGTTTTAGTAGTATCTAACACCTAGTAGTCAGCTTTTACTTGTCTTGATTAACCATAATTTGGTTGTATTGTTTTTATAATTCAGCAATAATTACGGTGACAGTTTATTGAATTCAAAATAGACTTATCGTTACTGTTTTGATCTTGTATTCATAACTGTCTCTTACATGTACATATATTGCCTGATTTCATGCTGATAGATAACCTCAGATATATCACTATATATCTCTTTATATCATTCCACATTCATTCTACTATCTTGCGTGTTCTATTTGCTTAACTCATATATTATAATTCTCATTTTAACGTTGATGGAGTTGTAAATACTATATTAACAATTTATCTGACTGCTCGGTGATATTGTTTTTGTAATAGCGAGTGTAAATCTGTGTGCTTGTAGTACTAATTAACTTATATTTTGTTAACGAGAAAGTGACAATATATTTTTACAATAAGTATATATTAATTATTTTCCACCATAAGAACGAACAGGAGATGCCTTTAATACCAGAAGAGATCTAATGAATACTGGGCTTTTAGCATTTTCAAAAGTAAGATTTATCATCAATGCTACTAGTCTTACTATAGCAACGCTTGGAAAATTACAGGAAAATTCTTTAAAACTTACATATCTTAGGGTTGATCTCCACCAGAAGCGTAACGTCAATAAAAAAATATACTTGATACATAGATTTTACAATTAATAGTCAACTGAGGATTCCTAATGGAGTCCATTATTTTTCGCCGTTAACAAATTGCTGTACAATGGTGGTAGTATGAAGCGACACACAAGGTTAAATAGTCTGTATCGCACTTATTTTTAATGTTTTAGTCTGCTTGATTTTAAAACACAAGGAAATGAGTTTGAGTCATACTCATCATACTGTGATTTTGAAAATTAAGTAGTACTGTCGAACCTTGCGAAGAAAGTGGGACTTAGATTCTTTGTGAACAAACATGCACTTCGTAAATAGATTTTTCTCTCTGTTTAGACACTCAGCTTGGAGAGTAAGTTTACTAGCTACTTTAACATCCACCTTTCCAACTTTCAATGGTTAATTAGTCTTTGGTATTTAAAAAAGTTAAAATAATATTGATAAAAGAACAATTTAAATGTTATTGTAATTAAAGTATTTTGGAATTTCAACAATAATACATTGTCATTGTTTTTAAATAACTATTAAAGAAAATTCTACGCTTACATACCTCGAAGAATATAATTTTGTATATTTTGATCTGATCTAGAGCCAACATTCACTAAACAATCTAAACCGGAATGTGTAACAAATTCATGTACAAGGTCTTTGTCATCCTAATGCAAAGAAAATTAAAAGATCAAAAGAAAAGTGCAAATAATTTACAACATTTAAAAAAAGGATAATCAATTAGGTGGATTTGAAAAAATATCCCCCGGATTGCTAATCGATAATGGTAACTTTCTATTGATATAATAACCAAATAATCCCATAATAAGTAATACTAATAGAGTACTGGGTTAACTTCTCTGTTTACTTTATTGATTCAACACAACGATATTAAGTATTTGAAAGAAAAACTAGTAAAGGACACTTTAGTCAATGATCCTTTAAGATATAAAAAACCGACCGGTGTATATTTCGTAAATCTATTTAAGAAGCGATTTATTATCGTAGTAGCTCTGTATACTGGTTGATACAAACTTAATTTTCAAAAGAAAAACAGTAGATGAAAGATATAGTAATGATTTTTCTAGTGTTACAACTTAATGACACAATAATAAGTTACTATTAACTGACTTCTATGCAAGTGGGACACATATTCTAAAGAAAAATTTGTTGTCTGAAGAACAGAACTTTTGGGAATAAAAATGAAAAATTTCTAAATTGAAAATTCTATCTTATTTTCACAATTTTAAACTATGCGCAACATGAATTGTTTATATACATATGTACCGCATATTTCAGTGACATATTAAGGTGTATTATATAGACGACTAGTTTGTATTCTACATAAATAAATATGAATTTCTATTTAATACTTGAGTATATATATATAGGTAGGTAGACAGTCACTATTAGAGTAACTGTACTTGTAATCGATAAGATAATGTTGAACTTACTTATGATCGAAATAAGCAGGCTTATTTTTAAAAGAAATGTGCATTGAATATACCTACCTGAAATATTTGTTTTAATGAAAAGAGCGAACGTTTTAACTCTCGACCATTGGCATCTAATAATTTTTCTGATAGGGAGGAGAAGAACATAAATTATAATTGTAAAGAACATGTTAGGTAATTTGAGATTATATGTATTTTTATAAACAATAGAACATAACACAGTATTCTCCAATGTATAATGTTAGATGAAAACAGTTAATTATACAATTCTAATGTATTTGGACAGTGGAATATTGGAAAGAGGTGAGAAACAAGTCGGAAGAACTTTGGTGTATCAAGGTAGCATTTAAGAGTTTTGTTGCAGTCTCAGATTGTATAGTGAATTGAAAAAAGGATTGACATTGGTATAAAGATTAAATTAAACAGATTTGGTTTAAATACACAACTTTCGCATAAACAGAGTTCCGCGAAAAGTTTACTAAAATTAATTGAATTCTGGATCAGTAGTCTTCTTTGAAATAATCACTGACAGGCAACTCATTACTTTGTTTAGTTCAAATCCATCATGAATGATAGTGCAACATGATCCCTATGTTAAGTTATTTGACCTCAAATGATGTTTTCATAGAGATCCCAAATGATGAGCGACATTCAGTCTGAATCCATTAGTAATAACTCTTTTAAATGCGAGTCTGATTAACTTGTACTATTTCGTTAAGGAAGTTTCAGTTTCCTCATAGTTGCTTATACGAGGTTTGGGAAGTTGCTAACACGTATAAAACTGAAACTCAGGATTTTTTGTCTATTCGCTAAAAATATTTAAAACGGATATATCTGACTTTTCTAGATCATAACTTCTCGTTAGTTATCATGAAGATAAAATAGGTTACATCGTATAATAGTAGCTTGATAAACATTGAAGTATCAGAGAATCCTAGCAAATTTGATAAATTTGACAATATTTACAAAACAGAAGTATCATTTTGCTTGTATTTTAGTTCTTAACTGATTTCCAAAAAACTGAGGTTAATTTATTATTTGAAACGTAAATGTTTCAAGTTGGTCTGATCCACTTTCTAGTTGTAGTTGTTCAGTATCAAAAAGCTCTGAAAAAACCAAAATTTCCCAGTGTTCTCTTGTTTTCTAGTTGATACCACTATTTAATTATGAGACATTCTTGCTATTTGAAACTCTTGAGAGAACTAAAGTTTCCTGTGAAACTCGAGGCCGCATCACCCAGCTTCATAGTCTGAGAAGTCAACAATCAGCTATTTAACCCGTAACTGAACTCCTATGGAACTGAGGTATTTACAAATAACTGATCACTAAGAAGTGATCAGTGTCATGCTTTTCCATTCCTATAGTATGAGTCAGAATGTACACATCAAGTTCTGATGTCTTAACATAATGCACATGATATCAATTCACAGACTAGTGTCCGTATTGCAACTTGATCGATAGAAATCGGTCAGCACTAAAAGACAATGCAAACATGACATTGGTAACTTTTAAGTCAAGGATCAATTGTAAACGTTCTAATATTTTTAGAAATTCTCAAAAAATATCTGACTAAATAGTATAGTTAAATCATGTTATTTTGAGTGACTTGAATGATTGCGGATATCTGTTGTTCTTTAAACACCTATTCACGTTCATCAGTTCTTCTTTTAGTGTTATTTTGATCGAATTATCCTTATAACTGTTGTGGTAAGATTGTATACCACCATCGACATATTTCAGTGATTTCTACGTTAAAGATGAGTTAATTCAAAGTTTCAATTTGTAACCTAACTTTTTATAACGCTATTTTGATTAATCCAATAATTTGCTATAAAAAATAAGATATATATCGACCTTTATACAGTCAAATTATTGTAATGAACATGTATTGAGGACTTGAAATGATTTATGATAAATTGGCATTAGCTATTCGTCGATCGCTTAATTTTAACCCTAAAATTAAAGGCGGTTTCTCTCAAGCTATTCGTAATTCACAATAGTGTGATTGATAACAAACATTAAGCGTACAAAAACCATAGTCTTTAGACTACGGAATACAAATTAATGTAACAAACTGTAAACTGTAAACATGATTTTGATTATACAGTTTTAGTTGTTTATATTAGCAAAAGTTAGTTGCTGAACGCTCAATGATTCAATTTCTTTGTAGATAACTTTTATTTGACAAGTTTAAGAAAATCACTTTAGATCTCAACACCACTTGTGGGTTATAAATCTACTTATAATTTCGTTAATATATTACTATCTACATTTCATAATAAACACACTCAAATGAATGTTAACTTAGTAGTTGCAGTAGGAAAGTTATGCAGTTTCTTAAAGCTTACTGGTGCAATGTATTAAAGATTCTAATTTCTTAATTTAACAAGTGGATAATTAATCAGTGTAATCAAAAGTACAGTAAGCACATTGTACCTAACAAGATTTCCCCAATTCATTTGATAAATGTCTGTAAAGTAGCCATTACCAAAAATACGAGGCAAGTCCAAGGGAAATTGCATATAAATGGAGTGTTAAACGCTCTTATTTATATCAAGTTGTTTTACCACGTCTATTTGCCTTTTTCTCTATATTATTTAGCAATTCTACAGCACACTGAGGCAAATTATTTTATTCAATAATAATAACAAGCAGTATTATTCACAGACTGATTTCATTTAAAGTATCACTGAAAATGAGGGAGCACTGGATAGATGTTCAGTCTAAATGTAACATTTCTCGGCAGTATACAAACCCGACTCCACCAGTGTTTGAAACTAATACCTTCAGGTCTTGAGGCGACTTCTCAAACATTAGGACCACTGGGCTGGCGTCCAACGGTACAATGAAAACTTCAGTCACTTTGTAATATAGCACAACGATCATCTAATGCAATTACTGAAAATTGTTTCACTTTTGATAAATCCGAACTCAGATAGCCACTATTGAAGGGTCCCACACTAGGACAAAACAACTGCCCACTGCCACAAATGACATCATTCTATGACCATTACAACCTACGAATTAAACCAATTTTCACAAAATCTCTTCAAGTAGATAATAATAACAATTCGACTATTTTGCCAAATTCAGTTTTGTGCGACAATGTTTTGAGCTTCACTGTTTGTGTCTGTTGGTTATGGTACTATCTGACTGTCCAAACTAATGGTGCTACGGGATGAGGATAAACAACCTAATGGTTTAAGAGCATCAAACCATTGGTGTTTTCTTACAATGGCTGGTATCCAATTAGACAGATTGAAAAACATCTCTAACAACATGTTTCCCTTAAGTTACAAAGTGAAACAATGTAGCTGTGTAATTCTCTTTTAATTTAGTCGCCTATTATTTGCAATCACAAATGCTATCAAAATGGAAAACCTTGTTTTTAAATCCTTCAAACATTCAAAAATTAGATTGTCTGACAAATAAGAAAACATTACATTCCTGTGATAAAGTTATTTGTTCACCCGACAAAGATCCTGGTGATAGTGGAAACAGGAGCATAGCTCTCAAATGGAGTTCACCATCCTCATGATTCGTGTGACGAATATTATTATATTACAGTTAGAATTCCGACAGTGATGTACAATCGAATAAACAGATTTGGCTTCAAACAAACTGAAAGTCGAAACTGTACAAGTTTACCAAGATTGACAACGTAATTTAGGTGAGCCTAGTCACAGTTGGCTGCGATTAACTAACACATCCAGACAGATAATTATGTGTATTTCGTTATACACTTTCCTAACCTCGTTAGTTGTCGTAAGATGTACATTTCAGTCAGGCTGGTAACGTATTTTTGATCTCAACTGATTTAGCACATGATATTAGTCCTGTTGGCTGGACATCTATTATTAGTGTGCACTCGTCAAAGGACCTAGGAAACTGAGGCTCATCTCAGAGTTACTGAGAAGTATTTTTCTAACTACAAATAGATAGAGACTAAATGTGTAAATACAATGGTAAGTTACACGGTCGTTAAAACTAACTAAAGACAGTTTCCACTTTGTATAAAGTTAAATTAAAGCGTTAATTAGAAAAAACATTTTATCAAAAGATTTAAGAATTAAAACTTACCAATGATCGCTTTAACACGAACAACGAGCTTTGTTCGAAGAACAACACTGTTCTCCCTGTATATAAAATAAGATTGATAAAGTAGCTGTTTAGTGTATTTAAGTAAAATAATTATCTGGCTTACACTCTTAACAAGTACAAATCAGTTATGATTAACGTGGAATCTAGAACAAACATATGTCAACACATGTTACTAAACTACAACATAACAAAAAAGAGCCTTATTAATTGCGGTAAAAATGATAGTGACAAAAAACATTGAGAATATGGTTTAAGAAGACGGGATTGGAAAGTATATGCAAAAGAAATACTGGAACTCAAGTCCTAGAGCAAGATAGAGAGTGAATAAATCTGTACCATTATGATAGATTGGCCCATGTCATCCAACATCTGTAATCACTTCTTTCAACTAGGTACTCTGAATTTACCAACGTAGGTCAGAGCAACAGCTCATGATCGAATGAAAAACCTTGGTTGATAGTCTATCAGGTTTTTAGGAACTAAATGATTTCTTGTAGACAACTCATAACATAGTGAGATTGACAACTCAAGATTTAGTCATCTAAATGCTATTCATTAGTCCTAAAAGTGTAAGATATCTGAGACACAAGGAATCTCATTTAACCCTCTCTAAAGACGAAAGAAGTATTGAGAATTCTTTATCTTGATATCGGCTCAAAACACAGGTTACAGACAGTTCAACTAAAGGTAATCGAAAGGAGAAGAGTAGAATTTGCAGGAAGATCGGGAAAAAGAGCCCAGGATCAGCACACTACTATCATCATTGTTTGGAATAATTGCCGGGCCAATCCTGAGTATTGCTCATCGCCTGTATTCTATTCTGCTTAAAATCATTAAAACAAAGTCAAACTCGAAGAATTTTAATGAAATATGTGATTTCAAACTATTACCTAAAACTTAATAACAACACTGTAGGTTTCTTTGTTTACTATCATATCAATATCAAAATATTAGCAGTAACGGTATAAATATCTTAATCTGACATGAGGAAACATTAAAAATGTTCACTAATACTCTTTACATTCCACTGCTCCCAATATTTAAAAAGGAGTGATAGAATCCCTGGGACTCTCAGAAGTGCTGGTTAAATTAATTTTATCCCGATAAATTTAGACAAGATTTATCACCATTTTCGTTGAGAGAAAGATTTTGGATAACAAGCCAAATCCGTCTGCTAGTTAATTGTTTACTATCTATCATCAAATATAAGAAAAGAGAGCCGTCCAATTAAAAACTGCGCCATATCAACGAATAACGTATGTATTGCTCATGCATCCTATTGTATCTAGCCAATAGTTATTAGAACTGATAATTTTTCTTTCTTTTAGCGTATCAACGTGTTTGTTTAGTGTTTATATTACATTGAACATGTTTCTCACTAGTAAAACTCGTAAAACAATTTCTGCTTTGATAAGTCAACCGGTTGCTTTCGGTGAAAAGGAGTTTTCCAGAAATGATGAGAAAATATTTTCAATCATGAAAAGTTTCAGTTTTATCAAACGTCTTGTAAAATATTCTGAATCGTCAGAGAACCTCCTAAATCATTCAGGCAGTTAAAAGATATAAGATTTTCAGTTTGTTAGACAGCAACAGTGAATAATGATTCTTATTAATTCGGATTAAAACCATTTTTATTAGGCTAGAAGTTCCAGAAGATCTTAATGCGACTGTAAACATCTCCAATCTCTAATGAAATCAGGTATCCAGGAAACAAAAGTGGGGAATCGTATGGAAGAGGGAGAGAGAAAAGTGAAAAGTATGGGGAATGTGACTGACATGGTAGGATCACATCTAAATACCGAGGGCGTGAAATCGTTGCCTTCGAAATTTTTAATTTATATCACATCTACTGTTAACGAATTTAAACTACAAGAGTCAGAAAAGTCTAGTCTACTGAAGAGGTTACTAAAGTATTCACCAAAGACTTTTTATTTTAAAAGACTTCTTCTGAATATGTAAATAAGCCAATATATGTTGAGAAAAGAAATTCTGGTGACACTCACTATTAAGTCCTTGAACATATAGAAGTATGCACTGCACTTCCTGGAGCAATGAAATTTAGACTTTAGATATATTTTGAGCCAAATGTTTGAACATAAAGACAAAGTTTGATGGGGATTCGTAAAGGTTGAACAAAATCAAAGCATAATGATGGAACTGAAACCCATATTGATATATGAACGGACAGACCTTTAGTTTTTAGTTTTCGCTCAGGCTATTTACCAAAAAAATAATACAGTTGCGTCACGTGTTTCCAGAATCAAAAATAAAACCTTCGAAGTATAGAAACTGATAGAACTGAATCTAGTCATGTGCCTGATTTTACGCTGGCTGACAAATTAGTTAAACTTCACTGGCAGCCCATGAAATGACAGAATCAAAAGTCATCGAAGTAAAAGTACTGTGACGTGGAATGACTTCCCACGATACTACGTTTCTTGATCGAGATACTTTAAAATGAGCTATTGAAGCTCGTAACTAATGAAACATTCGTGAGGAAAGAAATTTATTGAGACATAAGGCGATCAAATATACTCAGCTGCTATCACGAAAACAGTGAAAACAAACTGAACATGTATATACTGCAGCTTCATAAAAGCAACATTTTACAGCGAACAGTTATGAGCAAATCAGAAGTCAAGTGATATAAACAAAACATCAATGGAATGCGGATGTATGCCATTATAAACCCAAGAATTAATAAGGCACGTTTGTCAGGGCTTGAAAAACTATCCAAATACGCACTTTTAGGATACAATCAAACTCATGAATTAGCCAGAACATGAATGCTGCTCTGTAGCATATCAAATTAGTATACTATGATCCGTTTGCATCAAACCTCAGTAGAAACATTAGACCTACACATTTATCGCGCTGTTTCTTTAAAACTAGATAATAAGCGTAAAATCAGACTATGGTGAGACTGTACAGATATTGCTAACTTCAGGCAAAAGCAGAGTAACTGACTATTTATCACCTATCTATAAAATTGGTTTCTCTTCGTACGAGCATTAAAGTGTCGATTTTTTGGTCTTGTAGCCTAAACATCTGTAACACAAAACCATGTTCTCTTTATCATTTTGAAAAGAGCAAGAACAGAGAATAGCACGAGAACCTACGAAATAAAATGAATTCATGCTATTCTGCTAGAATCTTTGTTCTCGCTCTTTACAAAACCATGTCTTCATGCTGTTTTAATAGTTTAGTATTTATGAGAAATATTATTAAACAAGAAATTAAATTTTAAGTAAAATTCGGTATTTTTGGGATCGAAAAAACTTAAGATCGCAGAACACTATACACGAATTGAGTATGATTGCATAAACACAGATGTAATCGAAAAATGACTCACTGATCGGCAGATATTTCCAGATCTTCCCATTGCTCCTGTAATGTAGAGTCAAGATCAAGGTATGAACCAAACTCGGATTGTGCCTGGCCGAACTTGTACAGCTGGAGTGTACTATCTTCGAGCTAAAACAAAAAATGTTTTAGTTTTATAGAAGATTACGCGATGTGGCGGGTGTAGGATTTTATGAATTGCAGGAAGCTGACTACTTAGTGGAAGCTCCATTAAAATTGTAAATGATATCGGTTTCATGGGCTCCAAAAGCGACAGAGAATTACACGAAAAAGGGTCCCTATCATCTAGATAATAAACTTGACACGTGAATGTCGCCATGCTTGAACAATTTCTAGCCCTTTAAAACCGTGCCTAATTGCTCTGCGTCTAGATACATCGCGCAGTTGGCGCAATAAAACAATTGGTAAGGTCAAAAACTGACTGACATATTTATTCAAAGTCTATGAGATTCACACTTCATTTTGTCACATCTATAACACATTTTACGAGTATATTTAGCAATATTTTAGTTGGAGTAAGTCTCGTTATTATTTCTCAAGATATTTCTGTCACTGGATACATTCTTCATAAATTTTACGTCCTGAAGATGTTACAATTGTCCCTCTTTTTAGTACGATAATCGATTAATGGTTTGAATGAATAGCACAAAAACGCCTGCATAGATGTAAATATGTACACGAGAAGTTTCATTTGCTAATCTTAAAATCCGAGATATTGAGTCTTACTCAGTCTTGGAAGTTGGGAATAGATATCTCATCGTCAGAACAATTAGGCTCTGGAAGTTAATGGCACCAAAACTATTTCGAATTTAGCTGGATATCGTTCAAATGAATCTTTGACTCCATGAGCCTGGCTAGCAAAACAGTGTATTGATTAACTTCCTTAGCATAGACATAGACGAACCAAAACGTCGTTGATTGCATCGAAAGATCATAGTGGGTTACGTGCCAGTGTAAATCCAAGTGGAAGTATAAAAAGGTGACATATTGATTAGAAAAAAATTCTCTTCACCATTAAATAGCTGTCATATCGAAGACAAACATGGGAAATAACTATTGCCTACTTAAGATATTAGGAACAGGAGTTTATCCTTAGTGTAAAGGGAATTGTTGTTCAGCTGTAGACATGGACCCGCTTTCTACACCGTAGAACACCCCAGGGTCTCAGGTAATGGTGAACTATATTTCGACCTAGGGCGATTGATGAGGAAGTAGATGTCTGAATTGTGAGTGGAATCCGTGAACAAATTAGATTCAGTGACATATCCCATAACGACAGCTGTTTCATCCAGCCAATCCCAGAAAGCTCAAATTATGATTATGTTGTGAGGTGACATTTACTTAGAAAAATCTTCGACCTGAATGAAATATCACATCCAATTTCATCGGCCAGTTTTTTTAGATAGCTGGACTCGTTTTCGGCTCTATAAGATATTTGCGAGATAGGTGGGGACTCAAGTGTACATCAGTTATCACGGAAAATCGGAGTAATATCTGACCCAGTGTCCATCTGAAGTTTGACAGATATGCTATTTATCGAGATCTCAACATATTTTCCAGCAGATGAACACTCACAAATTAAAAAAACGCCAAGAAAGTTCTTCCATCGAACTGATTTGAATCTCTTTACATCAGAAATTGAAGTACTACAACTACTATGAAGGCCGTCTTTGTGACCGAATCACTGATACTTGTTGCATTTATTAGTTTTGTGTGAGGATCTTTTCCCGTGATGCCTTACACCAGGAACCTAACAAGCCAATTTTCACCCTTGCATCTAAGTAGCCGTATAGTGAGATTTCTGTTGATGCCTTGATTTCAGGGTGGATACATTCAATGCGTGTGTATCACTTCTGTTTTCATTGGGTTCCGTGCCATGTTACTGGTTCAGAATGCAATGACACTTCTCCGTTACATCTTGTGGGATTAAAGATGTATCATATTCCATGAATGCTAAGGTACGAGTGCTGGCTTCAGAGTCAGATGGTGACTGAAATCCGAGGGCTAACATCAAATATTTGAATTGGTCTTGAGCAAGCAAACCCAGGCTAAAACGTTCAAATGCCCGATTCACCTAACCAGCATAAACGAGGAAATTATAAGTCGGCTCTTTGGATACGTTCAAATAGCAGTAACTGATACCGAGTAGAGTTGATTGTTCACCAATCATCTTTTAAAGGATACTAACTTTGCTATCATAATTAATAGATTTAGACAATACCGGTTGGTTAAAATTTGTATATTTGGCATGTTCAGTTGTTTCTAACTCTCTGAGAAGAGAGCGAACTCTTATGCCATTGTCTAGATTGGCCAGTTCGACTTTGTTTAAATTTTCATATCTGTTTTGCCAAACGTTTAATGTGATTCACTTTTCGGGATCACAGATAAAACTAGTAACTGGTTTCAGTGCGACATCTGCGTTATTTGACGAATAACACACAGAAGACTCGGCGAATTTTGTCCTGAGTACCTGTTTTTAGTCCTTGACTAACACTTGTGTTCACATTGTTATCATTTTTTGTTTTTAAACCTTTTAAATCGAATTACAATGGTTGGTAAGACCCACAAATTTGGGCAACCAAACTGTTTGTTCCCTGTGGAAGAGGGGATGCAGTGTGACGAATGCCATAAGTGGTTCCACAAAATGTGCACCCGCTTAAGTCCCACCGCATACAAAAGATGCTCGAAGCCTAACTCACATTGGCTTTGCATGTTTTGCTGTGCCAACAAGGCATTACTAATACAGGAGGCTATGAGCCTGTTGGCTTTGGCCTGTAAAAAGAAGGATGGCATATGCGCTGACAACACGGGCACTGACAGCGACGAATGTGTCAGTGTAGTACCTGCTGTTACGCGACGCCTCAAACAACCGACTCTGACCGACGTAAAAGTGAAATCTTCGTTGACATTAACAGGGGGAGTAGTACCACCTGGTACTGACATTGTTAATAATGCACCTTTAATGGGAACCGAAGATCTGGATAAAACAGTCACCGTTCCAAATAGTCCCAGTGTTATGAGGGATGAAAAATGGACTACGGTACGTAGGAAACGAAACGAAAAGAAAAAAGCTGTAAGCAGTACACAGGTAGTTAGTAACTCACTGGTGGACCCAAATTGTGAGCCACAAATTGCACTACCAAAATCTGAAGGTAAGAGTGAAACCCATCCTGGCGTGACTGAGAAGAAAAATCTAATAACATCGAATATTATTGTGAGCAAATTGCGGGAGTCAAACGACCCTGATCCGAAAATTAGACACGCGCATGACTTAGAAAAGCTAGGAGAATACATTCGTAGTATTTTACCAGATAACTCCAAAGGAGTTCAGGTCAAAAAATTGGTAAGAATAGTCAAGAGGACCGAGGACAATATTGAACCCCGTCCATGCAGACTCCTTAAGGTAATCCTAGTATCGGAGAAGCAACGGGATCTCTTGTTAAGTAGCGCTCGTTGTCACGACAATTCTGACATCCGAGTTACACCTGACATGTCTCTCGAAGATAGAATAAAAAGGAAGAAAGCACTAGCTGAACTTGAAACCCGTCGGCAAAACGGCGAGGAAAATCTCCGACTAGTGGGTTTTCGGATAGTCAGGTCTTGGAAGCGAATGCTACCAAGGCCTGTGTGGATAGGCTGTTCTACTTAAAAGTTTTATATGCCAACGCTCGTAGTTTACGAAATACGTTCTATGAACTAGAAGAACTAGTAGACAGGTTAAATCCACTCATAGTAGCAGTGACAGAAACTTGGTTAGTCCATGACTTAGACATTACTCCAGAATTATCCGGATACCATTGCATCAGGAGTGATAGATGTAGATGTAGAAAAGGAGGCGGCGTCCTGTTATATAAAGCCAATGGCATAAATATCCGCTCCTCTACTAGCGAATCCCATGATAGCGGCACTTGTGAAGTCATTAGCTGTAAGTTGGCAATAGGATGTAGTACATTTATGCTAGGTGTCATCTATCGGAGCCCAATCTGCTTAGCTGATGACTTTGTTTTAGAGCACATTCATCTTTGGAGTGATAATACCAGATATTTGATAATAGGAGACTTTAACGCACCTGATATTAGTTGGACTGATATGACCACAGAAGGATCTATAAACTCCTTTGATAGTAGGTTACTGATAACAATAATGGAGCATGCACTAGTGCAGCATGTATCCCAACCCACACGTTTTGGTGTTAACCAGGGTTCTTCTCTGATGGATTCGATAATCACTCATGAGACTGAGGACATTGTCGACTTAAATATTCTTCCACCGTTAGTAAACAGCGATCACGCTGTTTTTTCATTCGCGTTTAGAACTAGGGATATGTTATACGATCAGGTTACACCTTGCCCAAATGTATGGAAAGCTAACATATCAGCCATTCAGGAATGCGCTGCTAAGACAGATTGGTTAGTAGATACTAGCATATCAGTTGAAGAAGCATGGTCTGTATTTAAAGGTAAATTTAGACTAGTTACGTCCCCGTTCATACCATACCTGGTACCGCGAAGACCGAATAATAGTCCACCATGGATAACTAAAACGGTCAGGAAACTCCTCAGAAAAAGGAAGAATCACTGGAATATGTTCATTTCTACTGGCTTAGAACAATACAGCTCCAGTTATTGTAAGATTATGAATGCCTGTAAAGCGTTAATAAGCAAGACTAGACATTCATACGAAAAACAATTGGTTAGGGATTCTAGATATAGCCCGAAACGGTTATTCTCGTATATAAAAAGGCGAACTAAGAGAAGCGATGGAATTCCATCACTTTTGATACGAGACAATCCGTTAATCTTAGCAGAGAATGATGTCGAAAAAGCTGAAGCTTTATCGGAATATTTTAGTAAAGTGTTTTCTATCGGTAATGAGGAACGACCAATGATTCATCGTGACCGTGATGGCTCGCTGATGGATCCTGTAGTCATTGAGAAAGATACTGTTTTAAGGCTACTTCAGCATCTCAAACCTGATAAGTCCAGTGGTCCCGATGATATTCATCCTAGGATTATGAAAGCCATATCAGATGAAATTGCTGAACCATTAGCGATACTATTCGACATGTCTCTGAGACAGTCCAGACTTCCTAGAGACTGGAAAGACGCCAT